CAGCTGTCCTCTAATCTCATCTGAGAGCATTTTCCCAGGGTGGAAACACTGTCATCCTTTTTCTCTGCACCGTTCCCGTCTTATTTCTCTTTTATCAGTGTCAAATGATTACCCGAGAGGAAACCAAAGAGTATGCATCAAGTGCGCCAGGAGGCGCCTCGCCAGAAACTCTCTTTCTTCTTTTACCTGCTCTGTCCATTTTCCCAACGTCCTCGGTGCTCGTCGTGTCATGTCCCCTCGCGTCAACCCCAGCCACACTCCACATCCTTTTGTCGGTCAGTGGCAGAGCACCAAATCCACCACAGAAGAATGTCTTTATTGAAATGTGCATCAGTCCAATTGGATGACCAGTGTTTGATGAAATCATGTTTGAAGTACTTCATTGTATTTTATGTCTTCATTTCTCCTCCTATTGTCTTTTGGAGTGCTGCCGGCCCTCGTCAGGCTAAGCCTGCGGTGTAAACCTGTATCTACGGTGGTTCCTGTTTAGGGTTAGGATGCAGGAAGGTGGAGAATGTGGAGGATTGAGAGCTGCCGTTCTCTGCCTGTCATTGCTTGAACCTTTAACTCCGACCTTTCCCACCAGAAATTTTGATGCTCGTGTGGTCAAAAATAGCTCGAATGAAGAAAAGCGCGTTAAATGTCATGCCTTGCTGAGGTATCAGGACGTCTTGCACTGAAACCCCCCTCACCCCTCCCACATCAAAATCACAAACCGAATTCTATGCACAACATTGGATTTTTTTTTTTTTACTTAAAAGTATAGCACGTATTTGTTTTAGACCCCAATTACTATATCATTGACTAATAAAAACAACAGCAGCTTGTCATACCTTCACATTTTCGAACATAAAGCATTGTTAAAATCAAAACAGCAGAATCTTTTGTTGTGTTCTTCTGAAACAAATCTCCACACAAGTCTGTAGACGAACTAAATGAAAGAAAACAAACAATCACAATCGAACATTATTGCGTTTGTTTAGCAAATGATTATCAAACACTTTTTTAAAATTATTGTTTTGGTGAAGAAGTTTAAAACTGTGCTGGGTTGCAAAACAAAGTCCCAAGCTTTGAGCATTTCACAGATCACTGTTCAGTCTACTGTCTAAAATGGAAAGAGTTTGGCAAAACGACCCAAACTGGAAGGACAGGCAAGAATGAGACAAATAGCAAATAGGACCATATAAACTCTGGAGAAGCTGCGGTGATACGGCTTGTCGGTGTACACGCGAAAGGCTGTGGTGGATGAAGGTTTAATTTAAACTTTCTTAAGCAGGGACAACAAAACTAGTCGATGTTGATGAGAAGATGCTAAGTGGGAAGGATTTTTGGAAGAACAAATCTTAGAGGCTGAGACTTAAGACGGGGAGAGCCACAGTTCAGATTTAAACCTTTGGAAAAGAAATGGAAAAATCTACGTACACAATCTACGTGAAGGTTTGCCTCTCCAGACGCGCAAAGCCACTGGAGACTTTAAAAGACTTGGAACTGTTGTTTATCTGCAGGTGTTGACTTCGGAGGACTAAGTAAGTCTATGAAAACCATGAAACACACCGACTTACCAATGATCATTTACCTGGTGCTGGTCTATCATGTAAAATTTCAAGAAAATGGATTTGAGTTGACAAAATAGAAAAATATTTCAAGGGGGATACATATATTAGCAAGGCGTACTTAAGGTCTCTGTTGGTGAGGGAAATGACAGAAGAAGACCATAAAATATTGCTAGCAGTAACCATTTAATGTAACGCCATTAAGGTTGTAATTGCCTTAATGTAATAACTCACTGGGTGTACTGGAACGACGAGGTCAAGTGAAAGCCAACAACCCAATTCTGATCAAGCTGACAACCGACCCCACCCGCCCTGCACACTCCAACCATTCAAGTAACCCTCATAAGGAACACACACACTCCATGCAACCCCCCAAACAAACCCGCTCCACCCTGAACACACAACCTCTGAGCAGAACAGACCCCCGTACGTTGAAACACAGTGGGCCAATGTTCGTCGACAGCGGGTGCGGTGAAGGGTGGAGTGTATCTGTGACGCCAACCTGCCTTTCACGACTTATTTTTGGCCTGTGTTTGTCGAACATCAATGGCAAAGCGGCTCTCCTGGAAGGGTTTTCTAGACAGTAAACTTGCCTGTGTTTGTGTGTTTTTTTTTTCTCTTACAAATGGAATGGAGAGAAGGAGAAAAGGGCAGTGAAGAAGAGAGGAGGAAAAAAAAAATCCAAAAACTTATGACAACCAGGTGTTTTTTCCCTTTTCTCAGGAATGTTTCACCTTGTAAAAAGCATGCGAGTGAGAGGCCGTTTTTTTTTTTTTTAACCAAGTCTTAGAGAATGGTTTGGGGATTTTTCAAAGGGGTGTGCTCTTACCAAAGGGTATGAGTGAGCATTAATCTGCGTGTTTCTGCGAGAGCATTAGAGCCGAGGTCTTTTTGGGGGAGCCGGAGGGTGAATTCTTCATCGCAACCGTAGCGTAGCCATGACTTGGAGCGTTCCTTCATGTTTTCCGTGTTGACTCCACCAACCAATTTTTTGCCTCACTGAGCCTGTGTATGTGATAGGGTGTGATCACGCAGAAGCACCCACCTGGCAGCTGAATGAATGGCAGGCCAGACTGCCTCACAGGGGTCCTATTGATGACATCACCGCCAGGCTTCTGGTCACTCCACCCTTTGTGTGTTCACAGAGCCGTTCACTTGGACCACGGACCCTTTCACAGACGTGACGCCTTTGCTGCTTGTTTTTTAAAGGTGATTCAATTTCGTTGGCTCCGTCGCTGAACAAAATAGGTTTTCATAAGAGATTCTGTAGATTTTTGCCAGCACAATGAACAATGGAATGCCTGTGACCTTCGGACGTCTGTAAGCGAATGAAAGCCCACTTCGACGCCGCAGAATGGGCCACATGAAATGCTGCAAATGCAAATAAATGCTGTCGTAATGACGCCGCTCAAGCGGCCGATCCCATTAAAGGTAATAGACGTGATCCAAACATGCCCCCCGCCGCCCCACCCTCCACCGCCTGTAAGAGAAATCGCTTGAAAGTTCTCATGTGAGGAAAAGTTGAGTTCAGCACAACTTTGGCTCTAACGATCGGCAGATTATACAGTCTGGGGACGTTTATTGCTCTTCCTGAGCAAAACATGAGTGAGAGGAGAGCAGTGAGACTGCCAGCTTTTGATAACTGCCTGGTACGTGTGTGCGGATCGAGGGATATGAATCGGTGGGTGTTGCTCAGATGACAGAGCCATTTTTAAATCAGTACCGACTGGAACATCTGGATGATTATTAAAACCATGAAGATTTTGGACAAAAATGGGACATTCTGAGTCCCTCAAATGGTTTTGATGGCACTTTATGATCTCCCTTTGAAGTCTTCGCATCTGATCTATAACTCAGGGTATAGATTAGCGTTTCCTCCGTCGCACCCAATCAGAACGTACATAAGACAAAGAAGGCAGATGAAACATTGTTTTTGGCCTGTGTGCAAAATAATACATGTGGTGGACAAACTAAGATGGTGCAGAACCCTGAGCACATCACAGTAAAACATGGCGGTGGCGATGTCATGCTCAGGATTATTTATTTTTTATATGTTTTATAGCAGACACTGGAAGTTGCTCAGAGTTATTGGAAAGACAAATCTAATCTTCACTAAAACCTTTTAGAGGCTACAAAGATTTTGAGTCTGGGGTGAAAGCTCAACTCACAAAAAGACAAATTCCAAATTAAAAATGTTGCACTTGTTATTTTGATGTTTTATGCGACTATTGTATTAAAAAAAATAAAGGAAACAGGTTGGCAGTTTAGCAAAGAGCAAAGTGTTTTTAGCAGGAGCAAGACATAAGTTTACCGAAAAATGTAGCTGTACATATCCCCACTGAGATATGTAGCGCTACCTGTGGCTGAGGTGAGCTGGTAAATAATAAAGCTTTTCCCACTTAGTGACAGAATAGAAGTTAGAGTCTCTCCTTATTTTTGGCTGCATGTTCACTCAACCAGGCTGAAAAGATTACTGGACTTAAACAGCGGCAACTTTCACATTTGTACACGCGGGCCTTAACAAAGAAGGCACATCAAGTCTATCTGGACCCGACTCATCCTCTTCACTGTGCTCTCCAGTTGCTGCCATCTGGACGTAGATTTAAAGTCCCAATGGCAAGGAAGAATGGCTACAAGCGGTCATATTAATTGAGAATAGATAAGTTTATGTGTTCTCTAAGTCTGCTAGTAGTATTCCACTGATTTTAAATTTCACACAGTAACACAGTGCATTATGACTCAGCGTAGTAAATTTTAAATGGTTTTTAATATTTAACTGAATGACATGAGTAGAGTAGTATGACTTGATTTCATTTTACAGATCTTGTTTGCTCATTGTGCATGCAGTTTTGTGGCGACTGTGATGTGTGTTGTGTTGTGTGTTTTTTGTGCCATTGCCAAAGATAAATTTCCATTTTATGTCAGTTTAATGGACAATAAAGGAGTCTAAAGTCTAAAGTCGCCTTTGGTCCTGACTTAACCTCATGTTGAAGCAAAAATAATTGTGTTTGAATTATTCTAATAAAAATGACCATGAGATTAAAATCCTGATTTATCACAAGTTACAATAGCTTTACAATAAAAACTGCTCTCCCGGAGTTAAAGCGCATACATGACTTTGGTCATACTAGTGTAATGTAAAATCAATACACAAACTGTAACACGGTTTGTGTTACAGTTTGGCAGATTAATGCCTGACCTGATTTGAAAGTCATGGCATAAGAAGTGGAGTGATTTCTTAGACATGAGTTGAGCAGAATGTGGTCAAAAGACTCAACTAAATTTTCTTTTTCATGTCTTTTTTTTATCCCCTTCCCAACATCCTATCCCACCCCTCTTTTTGCGGCTCCTGACCCACCCAGTCCTGCACACTCCCCTCCTTCCCTTTCTGCTTTTACCCACAGACACTTGCTTTTTTGTATGAAAGGGGGTCAACCCGGCGAACAATCCAGTCTGTCTTTTCCCGAAATAAGCCAGTGGGAGAGGGATCGGTGGAGAGTAAGCCAGAAAGATTGGAGCAGAGAGGTGCGCAGCCTCTGGTTATAAGTCTCTGGAGTGGGACCCGACAGCCTTCAGCTCCAAACACACAGCCTTGCTGCTCGCCCGCCTGGCCTGACTGACTGACACACTGAGATTCCCTCCACTCCCTCTCCCTCTTCTGTCCTGCTCCTTCCCTCCTACTTTCCACCGTGGAGAGTGAGAGTGCACAGATTGGGAAGGTGCTCCTCAGACCTGCGCCTGGATCGCTCGAAGACAGCACAGAGAGGACTTTTCCCTCGTCCTTCATTTTCATCCTCTCCCTGGGTTTTGCCGTCTCTTCCAAGCACGTGGTTGGATTTTGTTTTTAGAATTTTTTTCTCTCCAGACTCAGAAAAAGAACCAAAAAGAAAACAAAAGTTTGAAAATAGAGTTTGCTTCAACTGCAGCAGCAGAGAATATCCAATTTTTGAGTTTTATTTATTTTATTTTGTGGTTGTTTTTCATCCTTTTTTGCCTATTCGACTCTCTGCACTTGCAGCAGCACTGGACCAGTTCAGAGTGCCAGCTCTTTCCCCCACAGGACGCCTCTCCTTATTTTTGGCTGCATGTTCACTGACTATCTGATACTGCCACATCTCATGGGAGACACGCGTGGCTGAACCAAGGAGGGCGGCCGGCAGAAGAGAGAGACCCACCTGAGGAGCACACCAACAGCTGCCCCGACCCACCTGCCCTACAAACCCCCTCCAACCTCCCTCCCTCCACCCCCCGACAGAGGGTGAGGTAAGCGCTACCTGTGCTCACATTTCCTCTGGCTCCGCTTGCATCCTCACGTCCTGTCATCATTCCATTTTATCACATGTGGCTGAGGTGAGCTGGGCCAAGAGAAACAGAAGGAGAGAGAAGGAAAGGGGGAAAAATTTATAAAAAAAACAGATTCAGCATCTCAGTCATAAGACCTGAGTAAATCTCCTCACCCCTAAGCTAGTGCACAAAACTCGAAGATTAAAAAGAGTTGGAGTTTGATCACCAAACCTCTCCTTGACAAACTTTGTTTATATATATATATATATATATATATATATATATATATATATATATATATATATATATATATATATATATATATATATATATATATATATGGCTTACTTAGATAGTCTTCCTTCATCCCACATGTTTTGTGGGGGTCAGTAATAATAATGATGTTAAGCAGGCGTGGCATGTCTAAGAACAGTGAGGCAGCAGGTTATGTTTAAGAACAGACGCAATTCAAATGCTCTTCAGTAGAATGAATCTCACACACATATATGTAAGTGATATATATATGTATATTTCTCTATATTTCCATGATCCCAGAATTAACAACTGCTCTCATTTGCTTCCCTCCTTTCTCTACTCCTCTCATTTCTCCTCCACTGTTGCTTAATTCCATCCATTGTGACGCCTCTGGCATGCGATGCTGCATTCTTTCGGTAACAACATCCCTTCACCAAAAACTCAGAGAGGACAGATAGTTGTGACTCCAAGTCTTTGGGTGTCCCATATGGAACACAAAAAGTCTCTGAGGGGAAGAAAGGGGAAACAAAAAAAAAACAAACAAAAAAAATGAAAAGAGGAGCAAAACACAACGTTGCCAAGAACTCCTGTTACGATGACGGTTACTGCGCCAACTTGTAGTTCACTGCATCGGGAAGCATTCTCAGGAAAAGCCTGTTGATCCCGACTTTTAACATCCACAAACAGTTGGCGCCATTTCTCTGTTTTCTGTCATGAGTGGAAGGAAATTGACTGCAGGTATAGAAGTGAGTCAGACAAGTGCAAGAGTTTCTTCATATCTACTGTGGCACAGAATACACACCAAACTCAAAGAATGTCATGGTTCACAGGATATGACAGGACTGATGTGCCAAACTCTCTTTGCCTCAACTGAACTAATTCCACTTTAATGAATACTACTTTGTGCAATGTGTTGTAATGGGACCTGTGACGCTTGTACATTTGATCAAAAATCAAATGTACAAGTGTGGACCTAAGAGGAGAAGCGAGCAGCACAGAAAAAGTTTTTTTTTTCTTTTCTTTCAAAAGACAAGCACGTGGGCGACGCCAGCCTTGTCTGCTGTTGATAAAGCTGCTCTTTGCTCCTGGCTTTCAGTGATTCACAGTCCCCACCGGGTGGAAGATGGCCAGCCGTGGTTCTGACCGGAGGCTCAGAGCAGCTCAAGTGTGTGCTCGTGGAAGCGATTTCTCTCTAAAACCACATATGCCAGGATCCAACCTGCCGCCGATTCAGGCCTCTTGTACAAAGTAGCAAAGCGCGACCAAGCGTACACAAACAACAGTCATGCTGGATATTGTCGAGGGCACACATGGTGTACTTTAGCTATTCTGTAGTAAAGACAACTGCATGAGTTTAACTCTCACTTTAAAAACTTTTTTTTTTTTTTTTTTTTTTTTTTTTACAGAGTAACACACCCCCGCTCTGATTTTCTCCCTCTCTGTCTGGTTGTCTGAATGTCTGTAGAAGGGATGTCTTTGGTTTCAGCTGTCTCTGGACTGATGACCTTTCAAGCTCATCCTTTCTAGCTTGTAAAACACCCTGCAGTTTGTGACCACAAGGGGGCGGTGTAGCTTCCAGCTTCCCACCAAACGCTCACTCAAAACACATGGCGTTGTGTACAAAAGGAGGATTGATGTTGAGCCGGTGAATATATTTAAGGTCGCGTCCTTCCGAACTCACATCCTGTGAGCGTAGCAGCCACACTGCTGTCCTGAGTCTGTTTGAAGGATGCAAATTTGCTGTGCAGGGTTTATTTCCTTTCTTGCTCCCTTTACGGTTTTTCTTTTTTTGTGCTCTGCTGAGATTCGTAATGCCTTTCCTTGTGCGTTTCTGCTCAAGACTTGGCCATTACATGTGCCTCCACTACTTTCAGCGTTAACAGGAAATGAAGGAGAATGCCAGTCATTCTGTAGCAGAAGCAAACACCCTCCCAGCCCTTTACTGTGCTGGAATCCAAAACACCTCCTGAACGCGAGAACACACACAAAGCGGCATACGCACACACTTCCCTTATCGGAGTCTTTTGTTCCGTTATGCCTCTCGGGGCAGGGAAAGTGAAAACGGGCGACTGCTATCGTTTAAAATCAGGCTTTGAGAGTGTTTTTTATTAAGTTCACCGCTCCCTCCTCCCCTCCTTAGCTAGAATCTGTAATTTCAACCCCAAATGTTCAATGAGTCTTCAGCGCACATTAGAAGGAATGCTAACCAGTTCTGGTGAAACACTGAGTGAAGAACTGCAGCGAAGGGTGGTGGGAACCGAATACAGGTTCTGGTCTTAATCAAGGCTTGGACCAAATCGTTCAAGACTAATAGGCTGGATTTGTTTTTCAAACTATAAAGGGGAGCGAGAAAGAAAAGACAGACTCAGTAAAATCTATAAACACTTCTTTTTGTTTTTTGTTCAGTGCAGTTGCTTAAAGCTTTGCACTTTTGCTTCATTTGCTCTGTTTATTCAGTTTAAGCTTGTTTTTACTCAGCCGGTAGCCTTCTTGGCCTGCACAGCTAGATGACATATGTGAAAATTGGTCTGCATTGAGCCGATATGGCGAATCGACACAAATATCTCCCCCTTCAAAACGGACGGGGCGGCTACTTGCTGGAGAGACTGTTTTGACTCTGTGTGAGCCAAGGGACAAGCACATTGACAAAAGGGAGAAATGAAAAGTAGAGTCTAATCATCTTTCAAGTGGAAGCTTCACTTATTGTTTTTGTGATTTATTTGCCTGCTATTCCATGTCTTTGTTTATCAATATCCCTCTCATGGTTTCAGCCTCTCATAACTGTCTGGAGCAGAGGAAGTTTTTCCACTGGGTTGGCAGCAGCAGGAGGATGGAGAGAGAGAGACAGAGAGCGAACAGTAGGGAGGCTTGGCAGACACCCCTTGTTATTTTTCCTCCGCCTCCCATTGACTCTGTCAGCGCTTGGTTCGGTCTCAGACGGGGCCGCGAGAGCAGAATGGGTTGAGAACAGCATCTATCAGTCAGGACTTATCACAGGAACTCTGGTAGAACAAAAACTGTGGTCAAGGTAGAAGTTGTCAACACCACATCGCCACGATTTCCTCACCCCCTAATCTTTTTTGGCCTTGTTACGATTGTCGAAGCAAATTTGTTTCCTAAGGCAAGATGCTGATTGGCATCACTGAAATGCAGACAAGGAACAAAATGCATTAAAAGCAAGGCAGTTTAAATTCCTTCAATGTTTTTTTTTCTTATTATTATTTCTTCTTGGAACAGCATCTTGCGTTTCCAAAGGGATCCCAGCACAAACAAAAAGAACTGCTCTGCTGTTCAGACACAACCGCTGTTCTCAGTTAATGGACTGTGATACCTTCATTTTTACTGCTCAGTCCTCGTTTTCTTTGGTTTTCACTCGTGCTGATTGGATGCTGTTGCCGTTGACATTTCTGACATCTGACACTTCTGCCATGCAGGAGTCGAGCCCGTAAAATGAGGGGAATCGACAACGCAAGCCAAAAATGACAAAGTAGAAACTGGTCATATATACATATAGACAAATATTTTACCAAGACATGTCCTTATTTTTTCATGTGAATAATAGAAATAAATAATTTTACCCTAACTATTTCCCTTTGCATGTTATAAGTCATACTTTTAAATTCTCTGAGAAAAGCCTTAATGTTAGACATTAGTCACTTTAATCCATTTGTTTGGGTTCACAACCCTACCTTATATAATTTGTGAACCTCAAAACTCTTAACCCTTTCCATATTTAATGAGCCTAATACTGGATTAGTCCATATTTGATCGAAGGCTAGATTAGCAAAGCACTCTGCCTGGTTGTGTGTTGTTACCCAGGCCGTTTCAGAGCTCACTGAAAGTGTGCTGTGCTGGTCGGTAATGGCAGTAAAAGCACAGGTGTCTTATAAGCATTCGGTGCATGTGGGGAGGCTTAGCATACAGCTCCTGTTTTTCACTTTGCTACCTCATTGCCCCTCTGTTGACTGTCTGGCAAGGGTTTTGTTTGGGGCTTTCAAAAGCAGGACACAGGGCCAACTCTTTACGGGATCAACTACTCAGTATGAAACTCCCATTATCCCTCTTTTCATCATGTTACAGACAACCCTCCAAAGTCAAGTATTTATTTTTCTTATTTCACTTTTGATCCATTGTGGATATATATCTCCCTGATGGGTCAAGAGTGAATAAGAGGTTGGTAACAAAGTCATCTGAGACTGTTAGAAAAGCTTGAGCCTCTGTTATTATTCAGTCTGAGCTTGAATGAGACGTGTGCGTAGGTGTTTGCAAAAAAAAAAAAAAAAGATATAAAATAAAATAAAATGAGACGAGAAAAAGAGCAGGGTTATTGTGGTGTTAAGATCCCCTTGGATCGGGGTCGTAAAAAGTTTTTTTATTTCACAGAGTCAGACTCTCTGGAGTAGGAAATGGATGCTTTGCAAGTGACACGTGCATCATGTGATCGCACGTGGAGGAATTCCCCCCACTCTCCGGTAGAAGGCAACAGCTTCAGAAAAATATGTGATCAATCAACAAGGCTTGTGTCCAAAAATGTACTTGTGCCTTTTATTTCATTCAACAGTTTTCCCGTGCCAGACCCACTTAAATGTGGTAGCTTCTTAATCTATAAATAATACTCAAGGTGACTGCCTGCGTTGTTCTCCGCCGGAGCAGAAAATTCCAAACACCTGACTTCATCGGGGTTTTCTTTTTATAGGACGGGGACATTTTTATTTCCTCTCCAT